GCAAGGGTGCTCACATTACTGATGCAGTGCTCGATTACATCCATTCAGATTGCTGGGGTCCATCTAGAGTTGAAGGTATGGGAGGTTACCACTATTTTGTGTCATTTGTTGATGACAAGTCCCGATACACATGGCTTAGGTTGCTTAAGTCAAAGGATGAGGCCTTCAAAGTTTTCAAGCAATGGAAAGCTTTGGTGGAAAATCGACAAGGAAGGAAGATCAAGAAGCTACGAACGGACAATGGGCTAGAGTTTTGCAAAGACGAGTTTAATCAGTTCTGTGCAGATGAGGGTATAGGTCGGCATCATACTGTCAGGAAGACACCACAGCAGAACGGTGTAGCAGAACGGGTTAATCAGACACTGCTAGAGAGAGTTCGATGCATGCTCTCTAATGCAGGGCTTGGGAGGAGGTACTGGAGTGAAGCTGTGTTAACAGCTTGTTATGTCATTAATAGGGGTCCTCATTCTGGAATTGATTCCAAAATTCCGTTTGAGATCTGGAGTGGTAAGTTGCCTAATTTTTCGAATTTGAAGATTTTTGGTTGTGTTGCTTATTATCATGTTATTGAGGGTAAGCTGGATCCACGAGCCAAGAAGGGGTGTTTTGTTGGGTACGGGGATGGTGTGAAGGGGTTTAGAATTTTTTCACCTTCGGAGGGTCGGGTCATTCTTAGTAGGGATGTTACTTTCGATGAAAACACCATGTATTCAATTAAAAATGCAGAGATTTCAGATTTGAGAAGGGAAGGAGACAATTTATTACAGACAGATGGGGTACTTGAGGTACATCAGTCTACCATTGCTGATTTACCTCGGGTACAATATATTGATGATGATGCTGATGTTCCAGTGCCGGGTACTCCTGAACCTGAGATTACTCCTACTCATTCTAACTCTGGGGATGAGGTGGAGCAATCTAATCAGGGGTCATCTAGTCAACCTGACACCATTCTTGAGATGCCTAAACGAGTTATCAAGAAGCCTGTTAGATTGATTGAAGAGATGGAGGGAAGAAATTGCTGTGTTGATGCGATGACAGGTTATGCATTGAGTGTAGCTGATGATGTAGAGTCATTTGAACCTGCCACATATAAACAAGCAATTAGTTGTAGTGAGTCTGCGCAATGGCTTGCCGCAATGGGTGAAGAGATGCAGTCTCTTTACAAGAACAGAGTGTGGGAACTGGTAAAGGTACCGGAAGGGAGGAAGCTTGTGGGTTGTAAATGGATTTACAAGAAGAAAGAAGGGTTGTCGGAAACTGAGCAAATACGTTTTAAGGCTAGGCTAGTTGCTAAGGGGTTCAGTCAGGTAGAAGGGGTTGATTTTGTTGAGATATTCTCACCTGTGGTTCGACATACTTCTATCCGTGTGTTATTGTCAATTGTAGCACATTTTGATCTTGAGCTGGAGCAGTTGGATGTTAAAAACGGCTTTCCTTCATGGCGATTTGGAGGAGGAGATTCTGATGAAGCAGCCCGAAGGATTCGAAGTTCCTGGAAAGGAACACTATGCCTGCAGATTGCTAAAGTCATTGTATGGACTTAAGCAATCCCCCCGACAGTGGTACAAAAGGTTTGATTCTTTTATGGTTTCACAAGGTTTTGACAGGAATTCATATGATTGCTGTGTGTATCATAGTAAGCTGGATAATGGTTCCATGATTTATCTTTTGTTATATGTTGATGACATGTTGGTTGCCACAAAGAATAAATCTGATATTGCTAGATTAAAGGAGATGCTTAACTCGGAGTTTGACATGAAAGACTTGGGTGCAGCTAGGAAGATTTTGGGTATGGAGATCTACAGGGATCGGGCTAGAGGTAAGCTTTTCTTGACTCAGAAAAGCTACATTGAAAAGATTTTGTCTCGTTTTGGGATGGAAAAATCGAAGCCTATAAGTACGCCAACTACTGTTAGTTGTAAGTTGTCTTTGTCTATGTCACCTCAATCAGAGGAGGAGTTGTCTTATATGTCTAGAGTTCCATATGCAAACGCGGTTGGTTGTTTGATGTATGCTATGGTCTGTACTAGGCCGGATATTGCGCATGCTGTTAGTGTTGTAAGCAGGTTTATGGCTCGACCTGGGAGGGAACACTGGCAAGGGGTGAAAAGGATTTTTCGCTACCTGAGAGGGACAACTGATATTGGTCTTGTGTACGGGAATGGTAGGGAATGCTTGGTCACTGGGTACAGTGATTCTGATTATGCAGCTGATGTGGATACCAGGAGGTCTGTGACTGGTTATGTGTTCACTTTGGGTGGTTCTGTGGTTAGTTGGAAGTCTACATTGCAGTCATCAGTTACGTTGTCAACTACTGAAGCTGAGTATATGGCTTTAACTTCTGCAGCTAAGGAGTCTATTTGGCTCAAAGGCCTAGTAGGTGAACTGGGTATTGCACAGGATTTTGCTACAGTGTATTGTGATAGTCTAAGTGCGATTTGCTTAGCTAAAGATCAAGTACACCATGATCGGACGAAGCACATTGATGTCAGGTATCATTTCTTGCGTACTGACAAGAGGATTAAGGTGAAGAAGATTGGGACTGCTGACAACCCGGCTGATTTCTTCACTAAGCCTGTTCCGTTTAGCAAGTTTAAACATTGCTTAGACTTGCTAAATATTGATTACTACGTGATGTAGTAGGCCCTGAGGGGCGAAGTTGGGGAGCTCCTGGTGTAGGTGTGTTGGCCTTAAGGTGGAGCTTGCCCGGGGCTTGTGATGCAGGTGGAGCATTATGAGTTGTTATACTTGGAGACGAGTATGTGATGGGTCTTGGTTGAAGACTTATCGGGATGTATGGCTTATGCATGAGTCTTGCATCGGGTTTGGCTTGAGATGTTTTTCCACTATGTCTTGATGGGGTCGTTTGCTGACTACGAGTTCTCGTCAAGGTGGAGATTGTTGATAAGTATTAGGTGACTCGTACTTCGTAGCTTTGTCCGCCCGATCGGGCGGACATTGCCCGGTCTGACCGGGCGGTGGGGGTTGGATACGTTGAAGCATTCGTATGGAGTTTTCTTCTCGCGCCCGATCGGGCAGACCTTGCCCGGTCTGACCGGGCGGAGAAGGAAAAATGCGGAGACGCGGATTTTACGATTTAAAGTTATCTTTTATGTTATCTTTTTGCCCAAGTATCTTTTATTTTAGGGATTAATATAAAACCTCCCTAATATTAGTATAAGGGTTAAGAGAGATAGAGTGAGAGCCGTTCTTGAGAAATACAAGAATCATCTTTGTAATCTTTGCAGTTTATAGTGAAATCATTCGATCTCGGTGCCCGTGGACGTAGCTATCACATCGATAGTGAACCACGTAAATTCTTGGTGTTGTTCTTATTGTTTGCATTGAATTTCTTTATTGTTTTCTTGTTTGTTTACGACCTTTGCTTCCGCTGTCGCACAACAGGTTTCAATGATAATGATGACGAAAATCAAGCGTATCTTAAAAGCTTCTAAAAAAAAAAGGAAGAGGCCGCTAGGGATTCACAATCATATAGTATAAGATGAGTGGATCCCTTCTCGCTTTGTTAGTTCACATCTTTGAAAATCAAGGGTCAGATAAGAATTAAACTCTTTATTATCTTTCGGTTGTGTATACATAGTTACAATCGAACACCCCAAACAATTTGATTGGAGCATCTCGTTATTCATATAATACGTATGGTAGGCTAGTTGTTGGACCGTGATCTTGAATCTCCTGAGAAAATAGGGCAAAGCTAAAGAAAAATGTAATCAATCAAAGTATTTTGGGAGGCAAAAATTTGTTGCCATTGAAAGTGGGTGATGCCATAATTCCTCTTTTGATGGACCAAGTACACCCACTTGATTATGTCCTTTGTAATATTTTTTTTATCCTAGGACCACAATCAAGGTAGTAGATTAGGGACTAGACTATTTATTAAAAAGTTTTATCAGACAAACTTCAATCATTTTGTTTCTTAATGATTTCATATCATACGTTATACAAAATATTATAATTATTTGAACATTGATTTTCTTATTCTCTAAATTGATTTGTGCATCTCTTTTATAATTGGCAAGAGTTTCACCTTTCACCTTTACTGTGAGATTACGAGTTTGATTGATTCTTACTAGCTACAATTTTTAGGGTTGAGCCTCCCTTACCTTATGATTCTAAGAGCACAGTCGAACGGATCATATCAGAGTCTTTGTACTTACAAAAAAAGGAAAAAATAAAACTTCTTAGTACAGTATATTATATTTCCTTCGTTTCAAAAAATGGTAACATTTTGACTACAAGTAATTTAGGAATTTTTTCTTTAAAGAAAATGTAAGAGCTTTTGTTGTTGCATATTTTATAAAACGGAGAAAGTATTAAAATTAAGGGAAAATAAAAACTCGTATAACTCATTTGTTTTACATCACAGACTCACAGTCCAATTTGTGCTTTTATTAAAGCCCAATAAGGAAAACTTCATATGGACTATTTGATATAGATGGGCTATTAACTGATTGTGAAGTCCATTGGTGTCGCATAAATTACTACAATTTGTTTTGGATTGATTTAATGGCCAACTAAAGAACCCTAAGACGTCCAACTTTACTTGACTTTTAATAACACCAATCAATGCATAAATTCATATCTCAAGTGGTTACACCTTTCTTCCCGGTTTCAGGAGATTCTGGAATCGATTCTCACTCCCGCCTTTTGTGGCTCTCTAAACACCAACCCTTTCTTGTGTTATAAGTCCTCGACCTCAACGGTGCAGCATGTAACAGATTCCTCTGAAGCTCTCAAAGTTGATCGATACACAGTTGAGAAAAAATAAGGCATAAATAAAATGAAGAATGGTTGGTGGTTAAACTTTTCACATAAACTCATTTCCACAATTAGCAAAATGCCCTATAATCCCAAATTTTTACATCTTCATATTCCTTGTACAATTATTAGTTAACTTTATACTAGTAGTACATTTCGGCAGCCCAAATATTGAGTAGAATCAACAACATTTTTTCTACAAACAGGACATGATGTACTTCGTACTAGCCATTCGTCTATGCACATCATATGAAACAAATGTTGACAATTTGGTAGCTTTCGCGCTTTTTTCGCCTTCCTCAAGGTCCTAAATTCGGGATGAAACAAGGACAAGAATGAGAGAAATACAAAAAATTTACTATTATTAACAAAATCACAATTTTTAATTTCGTGTCAAATAAATTTTCTAGAAAAAATAATCAATTCAGGTAAACGAGTCGTATTCATGTTTTTATATCATATTAATTATTTAGTTGCACAAGATCTTTAAAGACTGTAATTTTATAATTGATATATTTTACATGATGAGTAGTGCTAAATTGTTAAGTAATGATGCCAACAAAAGGTGAAATGTCTCCTAGTGACTAGTGTGTGTGTGTTTTTTTTTAAGCATGTTCACATTGTATTTTGTTGAGAAACTGAGGTCGTATTATTGATCATGATGTTGTGGCAGAAATTGTCAGCTCTACTTATTAAAAGAAAATACTTCGTAAATAATATCGTATTATGCATTAATAATGACATAGATAAACAATAATTATTACCTGTAAACAAATTGTGCAACATATATCATTATGTGAAATTGGAAGGGAAGAATTCGATGAATTGCTATGGAAATTGATCACAGGGAGCTTCTTGATCTGCTCAGGGAACATCCCTCGAATTTCGACGATGTTATATAAATCTGATCCTTCTTCATTCCCAAATAATCCCTCGTTCATACTTGTCTGGATTAAAGTAAATTCATTAACGAGCCAAATTAAAACCATTATGTATGTATTTGTTCTTAAAAATAGACGTGATTATTATTATATATGTTACTCAGACTCTTTATTTTATGTAATTTAACTTACTTGCCATTGGTACGCCTTAAGAACTGCAGGGCTGACCAATTCCCTAAAGGCCTTGCCATTAAATATGCATCCAAAAAGAGCAACCTGATTGTAACAAAATTAGTTTAAAGAATAAAATAAAAATTAGGTAATTAATTTTACACATTAAAGCAGCAATTTACAGATTTTAATTCTTAATATGTTAATTTGGTAAGGTTATTCTGATATGTAAAGCCTCGCCTTAATTTACATCCTCCAAACTATACCTACTTTTGGGGCCCAATAAAATTCAAGAAAAATATCATAGGATTGTCCTACATCCTATTATGGGCAAGTAATTTAATATTTTCTGTATAAGAGGAATAAATTCAAGTTTATACGATAAAACTATTAAAAAAAAAAAAAAAAATGGGTCCAGCTTTTTATGAGTTTTATCCTTACTAAATTGAAATCTATGATCTAGATTCGCCAATTCGATGCATCTATGTTACACTCATAAGGATGGTTGATGTACATATATCTCTAGTAGACGTGACCATTTTGAGTAACACTATCAAGAGATATTTTTAGTACGCCCAGTGACGTTAGAAGATATTTTTGTGAGAATTAAAAGGGAAACTTATTAAGACGGGTATTTTCTTATAATTCCATGTTAAAAAAGAAAGACGAAAAAAAAACCCTTATTTTATTAGTTTATTTTACCAAAGAATTGAATTTATGATGTCCAATTTCTTAATCAATTATATGCGTTAAATTAATATCTACATATATATTTTTATCAAACTTTTTGTTGTTACATGTCCAAATCTATAATCATGATAAGTACACGATATATAATGTGATGAACAAGTTGCTTACATGATGTGTAGGGTTTAATTGGTCTATAAAAATCAATGCACAACTATATGGTCCATTGTATTAAAGCAAAATTATATGAATTGACTTGATCATATGGACCTCATCTCTAGGAAAAACAATATGACATGAATTTTTTTTCTATGTACTACGGATTTTGTCATAGAAATGTCCCTCTTTTGTGAACCCACTTCTTTCAAAGCATCAATAACGTCGTGATTGAACAGTAAACCTTAATCCAATTAAGCTAGTTGATTATCCGTGTTATGTAATTAGTAATGCATACCTTGAACGGAAAATGACCATTGAGGAGTGAATCAAGCAACTCAAGGGCTACAATGGCACCGGACATGACCCCAATTGCGGCTCCTCTACATAATCCTGACTCGGTTGTTTGCCCTTTTATGGCTCCTGCAATGCCTCCTATTATCACCCCTCCTGCCAAAATATTCCCAAGTATACATTATAACATAAGAAAAAAATGAAAAAATATATATATATATATTAAAACCAACAATTATTGTATGATCATAATTTTTGTTTTTGTATAGGTACATTTCACATCAAAAATAATGCATGTTCAAAAATTAGTCTCTTTCGAATTTACTAATGCTTAAGTATTAAGAAAGATAAATTATGAGACTATGTAACTCAAACTCGACAATATACATGTGACCCCTCATCTAATACGTACCATCAAAGATGTTGAAAGGGTCACCAACATGAGATTTAATAAGATACAAAATATATCTATATATATTTAATTAGTAAAAGTCGAATTTTAATACGTCCTTAAACACAAATATATGTAAGAAAATGAGAATTATTAAAATAAGATAATAATAAACAAACTTACCAAATGCAAATATGATGGTGGCAATGGCCAAAGCAACATTCCTCAGCAAATTGAAAGCAAATTGATGAAACCCAAATTCTCTAATGTGAATACATTCCAACAAATGAACAACCTTTCTACAAAGATAATTAAATTGTAATGAACAATTAGAACTTATTCTATGAACATCCATTATAATTGAGAGATTTAATTTGAAGTAAAAATATCTTGGAAATTTATGGGAAAAAAAAGGGCTTGGAAAAGTGTGAAATTGAGGGAGAATGAGTAATATTGGAAAGAGAACTAAAAGAGCGAGGTTTTAAATGGGGCTTGAAACTTAGAAAATGCATTTAAGAGGGTGTGGACTACTTGCTCTTCCCTCTGCACATATATGCATGGATGGAAGAAGTGCAAATTAATGTACTGGTGTAACCAAATAATTTTACCCACTTTAAAACAATGAAAATGATATATACGCTGCATTCTTAAGGGTTGCATATAAGAAATTAAAAATAAAAATATTACTCTCTTCGTTTCAATTTGTTAGTCCCATATACTATTTTGGGCGTTTCAAAAAGATATACCCATATTGAATGTATTCCACTTTTAACTTAGTTTTTATTTCCTATTTTATTCATATCAAAATTCTGATTGGTTAGATTAATTGATTGTGAATTAATGATATGACTCTAAGTAAATAAATTACTCCCTTGATTTATGCAAATATGAGTAAAGCTTTCCTAAAAAAATCAAAAATATTAAATAAGGCAAAATTATTTATGAATTGTTTTTTTAATTTAATGTTAGATTCCAAATATTATCCTTTTCTTATTTTATGTGATTGATTCCATATGGGACTATCATATTGAAACGGTGGAGTAATAATTAGAAGTAATCATCAAGACGTGTGATTTATTTCGACATTCATCTCTTAAAGCCTTAGGAGTTAGGATTGCAAATATCATAATTAAACAAAGTAGAGTACATGAAATATTTGTCAATTAATTACTTTAATTGGTTATACCATACATGGAATATTTGTCAATTAATTACTTAAATTAGTTTTACTTAAAGAATATGTTAACCCAACCCGCAGAATGTATAACAGAGTACCATGCATGCTGGCAGAAAATTAGGGAAAAGCAAAACGCAGTGTTTGCATGCATATCAGTACATTAATAATGTGTTCTAGAATTTTATTTTGGATGCATCAGACATTTTTTTTAAGGACTCAATAATTTATAATCCGTGGTTTATACACACGGGTGTACAATGCTCATCATACACCCGGATAAATAAAAAAAAGGCGGAAAGAACATCTTGTGTTTCATAAAGAACATACTTGTATTTGACAAAGAACATGTTTGTATTTGACAAAAACATGCATTACCGAAGAACATAAAGATATAATAAAAAGAACGAGATAAAAACTTAATAAAATTTTCTGAAAAATTACACATTATTAACGGAAAAAATTTAGAGGTGATAAAAAATCGAGTAGAGCCGGGCCATATCATAATTTCTCGTGCCCAAACCCGTAGAAAAGTAGCGGGTTTTGGGCTTTTTTCGAACCCGGTTTCGAGTTTTAACTAAAAATGCATTTTTAGGTTTGCCTAAACCCACCCTATTTCGGGCCGGATCGGGTCGGGAAGCGAGTCATGCCAATGTTGATCAACTCTTAAAAAATCCTTACCAAAAATATCATTTCCCCAAAAAATAGTTTTCTATCACTCCAAAAAAAAAATTCAACTTCCCATAATAATTTAGTTTTTTTTACTCTAATATTATTTTCAATTAAAAATAATTTAAGATTTCAATATCAAATTTCAAAATAACATATGTTAAAAGAACATAATTTATATTGTAAAGTACATATAGTTAATACCTAAATAGCACACTAATCAAACTCAAAGAATATATGATAATAAAAGTAATTTAAATATGACATATGATAATAAAAATAGAATTTGAACGTCATTACGACCTTAAAGAACATACACGCCAAATTCAAAGAACATACTTTGTATTGTTAAACCCAAAAAAAAAATATGTTTATCAACATATGTTAAATAACATAAGTTATAATGTAAAGAACATATAATTTTACTCAAAGAACACACTGATCACACTCAAAGAACATATTAAAGGTATGTTCTTTGTCAAACATAGGTATGTTCTTTATCAAACATTATATGTTCTTTCCGCCTTTTTTGTTTACCCGGGTGCACCATGAACATGGTGCACCCGGGTGTATTATCTAATTTTCAAATAATTTATCGTGAGACATTAAAAATTATATTACCTACTAAAAAAAAAACATATGGAGTATTATTCAAAGTAATCAACGATAATTATGAAACCGTTTTTTATAAGACTTTACCACGTGAATAATATAAGAGGAAAATATCTAACCTATAATTTAATACTCGTAGTACGAAATTACGAAGTAGAAAGTTCATTGCTCCGTACAAGCATCCATGCTTCACAGTGTACCATGGATAACTTCACGTACTAATTTATGACATTCAACGTACACAGCAATTCAGTAAACTACGTCACTAACCATGCACTAATTTTCAAAGATTATAATTGGATGACCTAATTTACGAGTGGATTAATTACCACAGTATATATATATATATATATAATATATATATATATATATATATATATATATATATATATTATATATATATATATATATATATATA